GCAGGGCGTGGTCAAGACGAAAGTTCTCAGAACTGCGCCAAAGATACCCTGGGCTCTTTCAGAAATGGAAAGTGTAAAGTTCGGGGTGAGCAACCAGAAAAATAGCGAGGTTAAACAAGCAATTTACAAACATGTGATACAATGGATGTAATATACATGGAAATTGATGTTTCTCTACAGTGGTGGTGATAGGAACCAGGGGTCGCCATGACTACCACACAAATATAGACATTTTATTTACTATCCAGAACCACCAGTGAACCTACACGAGTCTTCTGAGTTTATATGGAATGTTGATGATGGAAAATAGTGGAAAATCTGAAATAATACATTTTCTTTGGGACTATTTTTCCTCACAACACCCTGCATATTATGTATCCCTCCACCAGGAATAGATTTTAAAGGCCAAAATATTATCAAAACAGGCATCAGGCTGAGTGTTCATAACCATTTCAATATTCATGTAGTAACTTTCTGTGAGGGAGCTTTTAGAGGTGGACGTCTGGTTCCTATCACCACCACTGTGAACAGTTCTGACTCAGTAAGTTTCTCTTGAATGGAGTATTTCACACCAAACCACTCTGAATGACTCTGTTTACATCTTAATTATGCAGAAATGTTGGAGAAATTCACCTTAAAGGCATAATATGGCTGCTAATTACTGTTTTTTAACGCCTTGGCCAATAAATCAATAAGCGATGTCAGTCAACTATAGTTCCACAGTTTGGTTAATTTAAGAGCAGTGAAAGGCAGAGCTGAGGGAAGAGGGACGGCGTGGAGAAAAGCAAGAAGGGAGGGGCGAGAGAAAGAAAAGACTTCCAGGAAATAGGAGCGAGACAGATGGTGGGGCTTAAGGATCCCCCAATTACTTGCCACGTTTTAACACCATCAAACAAAGTGCAGATTAATGAGGCACTAAACCAGTTCAGCCAACACAGAAAGCCGCACCGTCTCTTCTGAGAGCGCAGACTAAATCTGATTGCATATTCTTCAGAGTAAATCTGATCTTCCTAAAAGCTTAATAATCAGAAGCCAAATCAGTCTGTCACAGTCCAAAATCCATACCTGCTCTAGATTACTGCTGTAGATATTTTTTAGTTTACATGTTTTGTGTAAATAACCTTCTTAAATAAAACCTTCTAACCATAACTTTGAATGGAAGTTAAAAGCAATTCAGGACAATTTCTAATGGTCCATTCATCTATATATAGGTTTTCAGAAGGTTTCAGAAGGTTTTCTTCTGACAATAGCGATATATATATATATATATATATATATATATATATCGCTATTGTCAGAAGAAAACCTTGTTTCTCCATTTTTGTTGTTTTTCTGGTTTTGATATAATTTGAAAATGTCTGTTGTTCTTTATATTGTGTGTAAATCTCACGATGAATGGACCAAAAGAAATGGCCCAAAATGACTTGTGAACAAACATATATATATATATATATGTATATATATATATATATATATATATATATATATATATATATATATATATATATATGTTTGTTCACAATTTCTATTCTGCAAAGGTGTAAAAAGTACAAAGGAACAGTACTTATGAGAATGTATGGCTACTGTGTCCAAATCTTACAGTCTCAGTTAAAAAATAGGGAAATATGGAGCCAAAAAGTCAGAAAAATTTAAAAATTCACTCATATAAAAGTAAAATATGGTTTTGGTGATGTGCAATGCGCCGATTAAGGGGCAGTACTGGTCATCTATTTTAAAAAAAAAAAAGGTACTCCAAAGAGTTCTTTGTGTGATGTCACTTTTGGTTCCCTAAGAACCCTTTCAGTGGATGGTTCTTCAGAGAACCGTATTTGACAAAAAGGTGTGTGAGTGTCAGAAGCCTCTTCTAAGGTTTAAAGAAACTTCACATAAGGCTTCTGTCCTGATTTAAGGATTCTTCCTAGAACCTTAACATTAAGTGAAGATTCTTAAAACTTTTGAAAGGTTCTTCTTATTTGACAGAGGTGTGTGAGTGTGAAGAGCCTTTGAAAGGTTTAAAGAACCTTCACATAACAAAGTACAGTGTCTTAATTATAACCAGTTCCACCAGGACAGATTCTTCACACATGCAAGTGTACACATTAAAGGGGAATTCCACCCATGTTTCAAGATTTCTCCATAATCTCAGTGTGTGAGATGTAAACAGAGAGATTCAGAGTGGTTTGGTGTGAAATGGTTCAGATGTCTTTACAGACTTCGTTCTAGATTGTCTTTTGGGACAATCTAGAACGAAGCGTTTCACACCAAACCACTCTGAATTACTGTGTTTACATCTTAACCATTTAATTATATAGAAATTTAGTAAAGTTGATGGAATTGCCCTTTGATCAGATCACCTCAGCTACTCCGTAACCAAAAACAGGTACATGAAGTAGAGGCGGGTCAGTCTGTCTTTTTGGCAGCTGCCCTCTAAGTCTAATTCAGAGGCTGTGCTGTCTTGCCACGAGGCCAGTCTGAGGCTATCAGAGGACATGGTTAGTTGGATCACTCACTGCTGACCGCTTCATCATTTATGTTCTGGTTTGAATCAGCATTTATATTCTTTCTTGCTTTGGTGCAGCTTGATGTACAAGACAGTCACACCACGTCAGACGATGCCCTGCTTTAAAGTTAAAACAACGAATATTTTCTACAGTATTTTAAACGTTTGTAGACACAAAATCTGAGCAGATTCATGTGTTCCTGAGTGGTGCAGTGGACTAAGCTGTCACCCCAACAGGAGGTCGTGAGCTTGAGCCCCAGCGATGCCACAGCCATCCGTAAGTGCATCCCCAAGAGGAAAAATGTCTAGCAGGATTGTGTGAAAGTGTCCTGGCTGGTGGGGAAGCTGAGTATAAAAAAAGTTCATTTTATTTACCATAACTGAGACGCAGAACTGAAAAAATTAACACAATTTTTGACTCAACTAAGAAGTTTGAGTTGGGTGAACTCTGGTGTCCTCAAGTTGAGTCAACTCAACTTTTGAGTTGAACCGACCTCCCATTTTTAACAGTGATGTTAACATACAATATGATTGAGTCATGCATTGAGTCATGCAACTAATTTCCAAGTCAGTATTTACAAAGAGTTAATAACACATCCTTGTCACAAATTCGTCTGTGCTGAACTGTGCCTTCAACATGGCGGTGGTAGTATGAGGGAAGACTGATTGAGGGAGGGGAGAACTCTGAGAACTTTGGGCTGGAGTTCTGGGTGGCTTCTGCCTGTAAGTAGAAGGCTGGACCCCCTCACAGCTGTAGTAGGACTGATGTAGTACTGAGGAACAGGGAGGAGACGGGGTGGCGGTGAGGAGTGAGAACACTTTGTCCTGGGAACGGAAGGTGAGGATGTGAATTTATAGGGTGATAGACTGAAAGAAGGAGGGGTTTCAGGTGTGTTCCTCCCCCAAAACTTCAGTTATAACATAACTACATTTTATATTTTAGATTAACCGCACAAGATTATGCCTAATTTGGTGCACCAAAGGTTCTCACTTGTTCTAATGAGCCGCTTTAACAGAGCAATACACCAAGGCTCATCTCAGTTGAACCAAACCTGCCAGCAAAAGAGGAAACAAGAAACAACGAAGCTGACGCTGTTCTCAGAACCATGGACCGACCAGCCCAGAGTCAAGGCCTCAACATCGCTGAACGTGTTGTCCTTGGATCACGAGATGTAGAAAGTGCAAACCAACTTCTAAGACTGAACTTTAGAGGTGTTGAAGATTTGAGAAACTGAAAGTGAGTCTCCTGAAAAGAATGGAAGCTGAGGTAAAGGTGAAGAGTGACACACTGAACACTCAAACAGCTGAGATTAGGTTTAGTCGTTGAGGCCTTTGTGTAATTTTCTGGATCATTCTCACCACTGACGTGGTGGTGGTGGTGTGTTAGTGTGTGTTGTACTGGTGCGAGTGAATCAGACACAGCAATGCTGCTGGAGTTTTTAAACACTGTGTCCACTCACTGTCCACTCTATTAGACACTCCTACCTTGTCAGTCCACCTTGTAGATGTAAAGTCAGAGACGATAGCTCATCTGCTGCTGCACAGTTTGTGTTGGTCATCCTCTAAACCTTCATCAGTGGTCACAGGACGCTGCCCACAGGACGCTGTTGGCTGGATATTTTTGGTTGGTGAACTACTCTCAGTCCAGCAGTGGCACTGAGGTGTTTAAAAACTCCAGCAGCACTGCTGTGTCTGATCCACTCGGACCAGTGCAACACACACTAACACACCACCACCACGTCAGTGTTACTGCAGTGCTGAGAATGATCCACCACCCAAATAGTACCTGCTCTGTGAGGGTCCATGGGGGTCCTGACCACTGAAGAACAGGGTAAAAGGGGGCTAACAAAGTATGCAGAGAAACAGATGGACTACAGTCTGTAACTGTAGAACTACAAAGTGCACCTATATAGTAAGTGGAGCTGATAAAATGGACAATGAGTGTAGAAACAAGGAGGTGGTCAGAATGTTATGCCTGATTGGTGTATATGGAAATATGGTCACTGAGTTAATATTTCAGTTAGGACAGCAGCATTATGAGCTTTAGATGGGCCACAGAGGGACTGACCTGAACTTTACAGACTTTACAGGCACTGTTGTGGCTGCTTTGTGCTTCTGCCATCCAGATAGGGGTTTAAAATTGTAGATAGGCTACTTATAGCAAGAGAAAGAGAGACAGGCCAGAGATGTAGATTTAAAGCTCAGAGGCTCAGCCGAGCCAAATCTGCCTCTAACAGAATTAACCCTGCCGTCAAAGGTAACAGCCTAAGTCCACCTCCTCCCACCTAGATATCAGCCCCCCTGCACTTCATCAACCTGGGCTGGCCATTCTTTCAGCATTCAGAGTAGGTTCAATTTCACAGTCGTCCAGGCAGGTCGGTGCTGTTCCTCTGTGACTCTGGTACAGCCTCTGGATCAGTGAAAGTGAGAGGCCTTCGGTGTCCTCTCGGAGCAAAATCTCAACTTCCCAAAGCCCCCAGCAACCAGACAGCCGATAACGATGGGGAACGCCAAGAGCGGCGCCATGTCCAAGGAGATCCTGGAGGACCTGAAGCTCAACACCAAGTTCTCGGAGAACGAGCTCTCTCAGTGGTACGAGAACTTCCAGAAGCAGTGCCCGACGGGCCGCATCGCGCCGGAAGAGTTCGAGAAGATCTACGACCGCTTCTTCCCCGACAGCGACGCCAAGACCTACGCCAAGCACGTCTTCCGCTCATTCGACACCAACGACGACGGCACGCTGGACTTCAAAGAGTACATCATCGCCCTGCACATGACGTCCGGCGGGAAGACGCAGACCAAGCTGGAGTGGGCCTTCTCTCTCTTCGACGTCGACAAGAACGGCTACATCACCAAGGCAGAAGTGTCAGAAATTACCAACGTAAGTTATCACAAACGTTCGCGGGTGAGGGGGGCGTTAGTGTGATGGGCTGAATTGACTTGATTTCCACACAAATAAAATAGATTATATCAACTACATCATTGCCCAGTAAGTAAATCGAATAATGTAACTGCCGTGACATCATTTATTCAAATTAGAAATGACATAAGCATTTTGATCTTTACTGTTAAGTTAGTTTCATAGTAGATACTGAGTAATTCATAGTGAATCTGAAATAATTCATGGTTAATACAGAACAATTCACAGTAGTTACTGAATAATAGTAGATATGGAATAATTCATAGTGGATACTGAATAAATCAGTTGTTACTGAATAATTCATAGAGGGTACTAGATAAATCATTGGTGTTACTGAATAATTCATAGTGGATACTAGATAAATCATAGTGCATTGAGAATAATTCATAGTGTAGTAAATACTGAATAATTCATAATGAATACGGTATAATTCACAGTAAAATTGAATAAATCATAGGGGATTCAAAAATAAATCATGGTGGATACAGAAAAATGCATAACAGATACTAAATCATTCAAAGTGGATAAAGAATCATTCATAGCAGATACTAAATACTAAGCATAGGTTACAAAGCGGGTCCATTATTTTTTACTTGTAGCGCATTAAAACAAGCAAATATTGTTACATAATCACAAGTAAAAATGTCAATAATAATAATCATAATAATATAAATAATAGCCATCGGTGGGTTAAAGCCACAGTTTGGGGTACATAAACCCTATGAACCTCATAACTGGAGCACTGACACAGAAGAGCTGATCCATTCAGAATAAAAATCCATTCAGAATAAAAGAGGCAGAATATTCTTTAATAACTTCCACACAACATTCCTGTTCCTGATAAATGAGCTTGTTTTACTCCATTCAGTGCATAATTCCTGTTCAGAGACGCAACGTGTCGTCTTCTCAATGTGGCCAGTGACATAATGTTTAGTCTGGATGGAGTCTGTTTTAAACCTGCCCCGATTCCTCCACAGTACGTATAAAACAAAACAAATCTACATGTAAACATTGATAAGGACATTAAACTCCTGGCTCCTAATCTCCTGCTTTTTCTGTCCCCTATATAAGGCCTAAATTAGACGCAGTGGCTGTTCTTTGAACGATGTGGGCCGTAAAGGCTTTAACTCAGCAATTAGTCCAGCACTTCAGCCGATTGCTAATAGAATCGGCCAAACCAAGAATAATCCATCGGATTACTGGTTTAGTGCTCGGGCAGTAAACCCACCTACACAAGTCCTACAACACAGACCGTCCACGTGGACAAATGGACCAGGATTAGAAATGGTTGGGGGGTTTTTTGTTTGTTTGTTTGTTTGTTTTTTACAGAAATATTTTGGATTAATGGGTTTTACACAGTAAAAGTGTGACTAGGCTAAAGTAAATAATACTCAACTAACACCTGAGGTTAATTAAATCTGATTTCTATTTAAAAGTGTTCAAGTAACTTCCTGTCTAACATCAACCGGTGCGACCGTCCAGCCCCGTATGCAGATTAACCCCTTAACATCCCAGGCTCATTACATACAAAGCTTTATTATTCAGTAACTACAAGGACTTCAATGCAAACTGGCTGAGCTATTCTTAGGTTATAGAAGTGTGTAATAAAACTTTGGGGCTGGCTGATTAAGTGAACTATTAAAAGAGTAATATAGTCACAAAAAACTCTAAATAAAAGTGGTTTGGCATGTTTTTAAATAGGGCTGCTGTACAAACTCATTGAAAAACTTTTCAGATTTTCCTCAAACTTTGTTCGGCACAACCAACAACAAAGGACTTTTATTTTGGCATGCTTTGAAGAAAGAAGCCAGGAGGTGTGACCCCAGGAAAACCGTGAAAATGTGTCATTATTATGCTTATTTACTCTGAAATAAAATGCGTATAGACTTGAGGTTAATGAGAAACATTTATACAGGGGTCCAAGTACAAAGGCTAGTTTCTACACCTTTTCAGTAGGAGTACATAAAGAAATGGTAAAGATAAAGTGGTAAATTGTGGTTGTTCCATCCAGTTTGGATGGTAAAATTCATGACCCTGTTTTAAAATGAACTCATACCATCATAAAAGCTATGACACAAATATCAATACATGGAGTAGGTTCTTGTATATCGCTGTTGTCAGAAGAAAACCTCATATCTCCAAAATAGTAACTTTACAGGAGAAGGAAAAAACCTACCTTACTTTTAATGTAAGTTTTTATATATGGAACCAGACGTTTTTCCAAGTCATTTTGGGTCATTTCTTTTAGTCCATTCATCATGAAATTTACACACAATGTAAAGGGTAACAGGTATTTTCAAATGATGTCAAAAACTGAAAAATGTCAAAATGAAGATACGAGGTTTTCTTTCGACAGAAATGCACATTATATCCTTCTTAAATGACACAGAATGTCATCATATTTTTGCATTTCTGTTAGCAAAATGCTAATTTCAGTTACTATATTTAATTGGAAAAGTGCCTTGTGACATCTCCTACACATTTGTGGGGGTGAATTATTTTTTATACCAAAAAAAAAAACACGAACTATTAATTAAACCAATGAAAATAGATCCATTCATAATGTTGACTTCAGTTTCTTTTTAAGAAAGCTTCATTGTTTAATGCTACCAATTAAACCCAACCTGGCCACTAGAGTGTGCTATAACAAGAAAAATAACATCGTCTTCAGACGCCAACGCATGTTAAACAATACTAATGGGAAGTTATTCCTATCCGTAGGTCCGGAGTGCACATCCGCCTGATTGGAGATGTGATGACGGGAAAGTAAATCGGGGGGATGTAGAACCCACAAGACAGTCTAATCTGGCTTAGATTACGATTTAACCTCAGACTGAAAGATCACATGTGCCAGGGATGAAGGGAGATATAGAAAGTGAACAGGACACTGCTGTCCAAACAGCTGAACACACATTAAATGACTTCCAACACCCCAAACAAATAAATAGTCGCGCCACAACACCATAGTTTTGCACTGATTAGCAACCTGCCAGCATACAAGACTGTCGCTGATACTCTCTCACATTTGGTGCACGGCTAATGTCACCACACAGCATCACTGCAGGCTATTCTGAATGTAGAAAGCACAGCAGTGATGGAAGTTAAAAGAGCATTTAGTGAGCGATGCAATGAGGCACTGCTGGTTTGTTGCCAGAAGCTCTGGCACCAGTTCTAATCTGAGGCTTAAATGGCTGCCTTCTTGGCTAAAAGCCCTGCGCCCAGAGTTTTAAAGAGGGAACACTGATCTAGGACCACATCTTTCACTCTGAGAAAGTTGAAAATGGACCAATCAAGTTATTCATTCAGCCGAATGAGAAACAGTTTATGTCACAATACCTACATTTAGAGTCGGTTATTCATTCAACCTAATGAGAAACTGTAGAACAGACTCAGTTTATATCACAAGACCTACATTTAGAGTCAGTTATTCATTCAGCCTAATGAGAAACTGTAGAACAGACTCGGTTTATATCACAATACCTACATTTAGAGTCGGTTATTCATTCAGCCTAATGAGAAACTGTAGAACAGACTCAGTTTATATCACAATACCTACATTTAGAGTCGGTTATTCATTCACCTAATGAGAAACTGTAGAACAGACTCGGTTTATATCACAATACCTACATTTAGAGTCAGTTATTCATTCAGCCTAATGAGAAACTGTAGAACAGACTCAGTTTATATCACAATACCTACATTTAGAGTCGGTTATTCATTCAGCCTAATGAGAAACTGTAGAACAGACTCGGTTTATATCACAATACCTACATTTAGAGTCGGTTATTCATTCAACCTAATGAGAAACTGTAGAACAGACTCGGTTTATATCACAATACCTACATTTAGAGTCGGTTATTCATTCAGCCTAATGAGAAACTGTAGAACAGACTCAGTTTATATCACAATACCTACATTTAGAGTCGATTATTCATTCAGCCTAATGAGAAACTGTAGAACAGACTCGGTTTATATCACAATACCTACATTTAGAGTCAGTTATTCATTCAGCCTAATGAGAAACTGTAGAACAGACTCAGTTTATATCACAATACCTACATTTAGAGTCGGTTATTCATTCAGCCTAATGAGAAACTGTAGAACAGACTCAGTTTATATCACAATACCTGAATTTAGAGTCAGTTATTCATTCAGCCTAATGAGAAACTGTAGAACAGACTCAGTTTATATCACAATACCTACATTCAGAGTCGGTTATTCATTCAGCCTAATGAGAAACTGTAGAACAGACTCAGTTTATATCACAATACCTTCAGTGGCTTCACCTGTTTCAGCTTTGCTAGCTAGTTAGCTATGTTAATGCCGTTGCTGACACTGCTAGCTACAGTAAGGCTGAAGTTACTCTAAGGGATTTGCTAACATTGCTGGTTAGCTAAGTTAATGTCATAGCTTACAACTACTGTAGCATAGCTAAGGGATGTAGCAGCAACATTTTCCCCATCTTACTTGTCATATATACCAACATTATGGCAAAAACAGAAAGTACAACAAACATGTCCCTGCTAGAAAAACAGCATAGACCAGCAAAACCAGCACATCACTGGTGTCGGAAAAAAACCTTGTATCTCCAAAATGGTAACTTTACAGGAGAAGGAAAAACCTACTTTACTTTTAATGTAAGTCAATGGAACCAGACTTTTTCCCAAGTCATTTTGGGTTGTTTGTTTTGGTCCATTCATCATGAAATTTACACACAATGTAAAGGACAACAGGTATTTTCAAACTATGCCAAAAACTGAAAAATGTCAAAAATGGAGATACGAGGTTTTCTTTCGACAGAAATGCACATTATATCCTTCTTAAATGACACAGAATGTCAACAAGACCTCATATTTTTGCATTTCTGTTCGCAAAATGCTCATTTCAGTTACTATATTTAATTGGAAAAGTGCCTTGTGGCATCTCCTACGCATTTAATTGCATTTGTGGGGGTGAATTATTTTTTATACCAAAACTATGAATTAAACCAATGAAAACAGATCCATTCATAATGTTGACTTCAGTTTCTTTTTAAGAAAGCTTCATTATTTAAATGAAAAACGGAGATACAAGGTTTTCTTCCGACAACAGCGATATGTTGTGCTGTGGATGCTGCTATGCTGGTCAACACTCCCAGTCTATCTCAGCAATAGGACCTTTAACACGTGTGCAAAATTAATATCATTTGAAATAAATAACATAGTCTAAATTTATATATTTGGACACATTGCATTGTGTCCACCACCTTTAAGAGCTGCTGTTTTTTTGACCAATTTCCCAAACAGCCTCGGGAGGTATGACTTCAGTAGGCCTGCTTAAGTGAAGCCCAAGCGCTCCTTCATGGTTTTGATCATCTTAAAGACTAAGACCAGTGTTTGATATCACCTCTATTTATGGTACTGAAACTGCTCACATCAAACACTTTGGTTTTGTCCATGCTAACCCACAGCCTATCCCACTGTGGGCAGCTTAAAAGCCGTGTAAATGAGCATTCAGTATTAGATGTGAATGGAGGTCAGTGGGATATGGAGCTTATTTCCAGTGCAGTGATTAACCCCGCAGAAATCTCAGAATTAGGTGCAGATGGAGGCGCGTTTGGCTTTGCTAAAGAAGCTCAGCGCTAACATGGCTGGACAGAGGGAAAAGGCTTAGGCAGCGTGCTCTGAGAGGAAACGCTGGTATTTCACGGTCAGCTCAGAGTGTTATAAGGAACATGTAGGGAATGCTGTGGAATCTGCCTATTAAACACAAGCGGAAAGAAAAAATACTCATCTGTGCAGAATGAAAATGGACTAAATGTACTTGATTCCAATGTCGACGTGAATAAAATATATTAAATCAGCATAATTACTGATAAAAGTAGCTAAACAGAAACACAAAACTGTGCTGAAGTGTACTATTCATGTGGAAGTGACCCATTAGAATCAAGTAAATTCAGTATATTACTTTTTCAGAGGAGGACGTATGTAGTTGGCATAGATTAGTCTGTATTAAATAGCCTGCTGGAAAAAAAACAGCATTCGATGCTGGTCTAAAGCTGGTTTATGCTGGTCTAGTGCTGGTCTGGTGCATATGGATATGCTGGTATTGCTGGTGTTCAGCAAATCAGCTACCATACCAGCATCCAAACACAACATATCACTGCTGTCAGAGCCGTATCTCCACTTTTGTCATTTTTCATTTTTACATAATTTAAAAATTGGTGCTATCCTTCACACTGCATACAAATTGCATGATATATGGACCAATGTAAACGGTCCAAAATTACTTGGAAATAAACATTCTTACATTAACCACCATTATAAGTAAGTAATGTTTTTTTCTTTCTCCTGTAAAGTTATCGTTTTAGAGAGACGAGGTTCTGTTCCAGCAGCGACTATATGCTACTTTTACTAGTGCGGTGGCCTTAAAGGGTGAATATCGTGTATCTGTGTACTCAATTTACTCATATTACAGGAATCGTTTCATATGAGGATCCTGTTAAAAACACAAGAACAATCACTGAGTAACATAAACACTGAATTTGACCAATAAGATTAAGAATCAGTCGCTTAGCTTTACTTACTATTGGTTTATATGCTAATACAGACGTTTAGCGCGCTAATACAGACACCAGTAATACACAGTTTGTTTTTTATGAATGTTGTTGGGTTACTTATATCATTTTAAGCCACTTTAAAGTGAAATGTATCAGGATTTCAATGTGCTTTGGACTGGACTGAATGTGAGAGGAGTTTAGTAATAATCTTCAGTTTTCATCTCCTCTATGCTAATTCTAAACACTACATGAAGTTTGAAAACTGAGCAAGATAAAAACCACCAGGGGGAGACAAACTCAGCCTTTTATACACTTCATTTCAATCCAGAACTGTGTCCTATACCAGTGTTTCTCAGTCCTGGTCCTGAGGGCCCACTGCCCTGCACTTGCTCCCAACACACCAGATCCAACGAATCAGCCCATTAAGAAGCCCTTACTCAGTGTAAGTGGGTGTTTGAAGCAAGGAAAGCTTTGAGAAACACTGTCCTAATCTACATAATACTGTACTACACTAGTGAATACACTATGAGTGGTGCTGAACTGTTTAGACGTTCTGTTTAGTTTATGTGGTTTTGGACGTGTAACGTTGCCATTTTGGACGAATGTTCTGTCTGATGTTTTGTCTGTCGTTTCTTCCCGCTTGTCTCCTCACTCAGGCCATCTTTAGGATGATTCCCAAGGATGAGCTGGACAGGCTTCCAGAAGACGAGAACACTCCAGAGAAAAGAGCGAGCAAACTGTGGTCTTACTTCAACAAGCAGGAGAACGGTGAGGATTCACAGCTGCAAATATACTAAATGATAAATAAGTAAATATATATATATATTTATTTTTTTTTATTTATATATTTTTTTATTGAAACTTCATTCTTGATATCAATTTTAATAGAACTTAATCCTTGAAATTAATTGTACTAAAACTTCATTCTGGATATTCATTTTGTAAAAATTTCATTCTTGATATTAATTTCATTAGAACTTCATCCTGGAAATGAAATTTTGTAGAATTTCATTTTTGATATACATTTTATTAAACCTTCACTCTGGATACTAAATTTATTATCACTTCACTGTTGACATTAATTTTATTATTATATTTTATATTATTTTTATTGTATAATTTTATATTTTATTTATATATGTATATATATATATATATATATATACATATATATATATATATATCAACATTTAATTCTCTCTCTTTCTCTCAGAGCGGTTGCATGAGGGCGAGTTCATTCAGGGTGTGATGGACAACGATAACGCTCTCCGCCTAATTCAGTACGTGCCCACCAAATAGAAAGAAGCCGGACCACCCTCTGCCTCCCCCGCTCCTCCTCACTCTCCTCATCTCTCACTCGCTCTGTGGTTTATTGCATTGTAGCATTGACCTCCGGTCATTTTGTAAATACTGTTCTAAACCATCACCTTCATATTGTGCATTCAATTATGCAACAGCCCAATCGCACTACAGTATCACGACAGATGAAACGTCTGAACGAAATGTACGCAACTCAGCAGGATATATTTTTTTATTTTACGTTGTTCACAAATTATCCCAGTGACCAAAACTCAACCGTTACTGTAGATCAACCACGACTGCAGTCCATATTTTTGTGGTTTCTGTAAAACGTACAGTAGAGTGTATTGCACTAGCTTCGTTTATCACGTTTATAGTGACATATATGCTTGACATGGTGGTAAAGTGAGCCGTCCTGAGCAGCAGTGCTTCTGGGGGTCACATAGAAGCCTTTAGACTTCTGTTTTGTAATTATCTTGTCGCTTCTGGTGGGGAAAAAAAGACACATAAGCTGTGGAATAAAATTTTCAGAGAAACTGTGTGAGACTGTCTGTGTCCCAGTATTGTTCTCATCAGGTAAGATTCACTACCGTCCAAATGTTTGGGCATCCAATCTTTTTTAAGTTAACACATCGTCTACAGAGAACACATTTTAATACACAATTACTGTTTATTACCTGTGCAAAAGTTTGAAATATTTGATATTTTATATTTTCTCTTTTTTTCAATACATCAAACTCAATAAATAAATAAGTGTACATTAAAATTTGCAAGTGTCATATTTAAGTGTGTTCCCTTTATAGGGTGTGATAACCTATTTTAACTTAAGAAACTTTTGCACAGACCATACTTTTTAGTTATTCATTTTTTAAATTTAGAATACTGAGTTTAACCGACTGAACTGAGCTGAAAGTTTATAAAACTGAAAGGGTATAAATACAACTCTAAGAAAAATGTTTCACTTTTAATTACCTACTTTTGTGTTAATGCAGTCTGACAACAGGTTCATTTATTGGAGGATGACCTTTTTATATCAGAAGGCAAAAATGTTCATCTTTAAAATGTTCAATGTTTTAAAAATTATACATTTGTAATCATTTCCTGTTTTTTTCATATAATCAAGTTATCTGCCCTGAGACTTTGTCAACATTTTTGAAAGTCCAGGCATTGTTGATATTCGTTGTATTAGAACTTTAATTAGAACTTCATTCTGAATATTAATTTTATTAGAGCTTCATTCCAGATATTAATTTTAGTAAAACTTCATTTTGGATATTAGCTTTATTTAAAAATTCATTCCAGATATTAATTTTATTGCTCCATTCTGGATGTTAACTTTATTACAAATTCATTCTGAATCTTAATTTTATTAGAACTTCATTCCAAATATTAACTTCATTGCAAATTCATTCTGGATATTAATTTTATTAGAAATTGACACTGCTTAGCAATACCCTAGCAACCTGGGAAGCCCATAGTAACCAACAGAGATAGCATAGCAACCACCTAGCAACACCTGGAACATCATAACAACTGCCTAGACACCTGGCAACACCTTAGAAACTACCTGGGATATCAGATATTCATTTTATTATAACTTCATTCTGGATATTAATTTTATTAGAAAATTATTCTGGATATTAATTTTATTATAACTTCATTCCAGATATAAATTTTACCAGAACTACATTAATAATTTAATGACCGATTCCAAAGCTTTGAGCTTCAGTGTAGACGGTGGTGGTGGGTCTGACTTTGCCTTGCATTTTTATAGGGAGAGGAAAAGAGATTTTCCATGGGGTGATATTTACTTATAATCCTGGATTAGCCGTGTGTGGGGAGGGCATAAGGTTGGACTTGGCAGCGGTGAATAAGAACACTCATCCACTGTGTGTGCGGGTGAATGTGACAGTGCATGTGCGTAAGTGTTTGTGCTTATTGTGTAAGCAGGTTTTTTTGTTGGAGGAATATCAGGATATCTGTTCTCGAAAAAGAATTTCATAATACTATTTACTGTTCACTCCCGCTCCCTCCCTCACCATCCCACACAGGATTACTGTCATAATCTCCTGTCCAGCACGGGAAAGCAGACTTCACCAAATCTCCCATCCCTCTGTCTGCACTCTGCCTTTCTTTAGGCCTGTCTTCTCGCTCTCTCTCTCTCTCTTTCTCTCTCTGTGTCTCTCACTCATGCAGTCATGCAGGTTTGTTTCTCTAACTGGTTCCACAGTTTTCAAGATATCAACACCAAACCAACTCTAGAATGTTCATATACAACTTTTTGATTATTATAATATTATATTTTTATAATATTATAAACGCTTATTTAACCCTTATACAAGTACACTAACAAAACCCAGCAACCATCATGGATATCTTAGACACCGCTCTGCTGTAGGAACACCACTGCAAACACCTAGCAACTCCAAAGCAGCCACCAGAGACACCATATCAACCATCTAGCAACTCCCTTGCAACCACCTGGAACATCACTGCAACTCTGCCTAGCAACCACCAGGGATACCAAAGCAACCACCTTGCAACATATTAGCAACCACCTACAATACAATAGCAACCACCTAGCAACACCATACCAACCATCTAGCAACACCCTAGCAACATCTAGCAACAACATAGCAACACATATTAACAACTCTGCCTAGGAGCTACCAGGGATACCAAAGCATCCACCTTGCAACACCTTAGCAACCACCTAGCAACACCCTAGCAACCACCTAGCAAACACCAGACATTCCATATCCACCATCTAGCAACCACCTGGAACATCATAACAATCTTTGCCTAGGATACCAGGGATACCAAAGCAGCTAGCTTGCAACACCTTAGCAACCACCTGGGATGCCTTAGCAACCACTAAGCAACACCCAAACAATAACCTAGCAACCCCATAGCAAGAACCACTTAGCAACTCCCTGGAACATCACAGCAACTGTCTAGCAGCCATCAGGGTTACCAAAGCCACCACCTTGCAACACCTAGCAACCTCCTGGGATAACATGGTAACCACCCTGTAACAACTAAGCAACCACCTGTGATACCTTAGCAACCACCTAGAATACCATTCTAAGCCCATAACAAACCCATGCAAGCAAAGCTGTGCAATTACTGTGTTTTCTTTGGGAAATTCACTTTTCTCATCATTCGTTTCTTAATTTTCCCGTCACTCATTTCACTCCATCTCGCTGGAAGAAGGGCACATTTGTGGGGAAGGACAAGAGGGGATAGACTTTACTGGACACAGCAGATGAAACACCATCCCAGTTAGTCCGTGGATGCATTTCAAGTAGAGTTCAGATAAAATCCGAGAGTGACGTCATTTATCCGTTATAGTGGACACGTGAAAATTGTTCATGTACATTTATTAATTGCCAATGAATGCAAAGAATTAATAGCTACGAGTTGCTGATGTCATATTTTTTTGACAAGGACCATCAGAACACACTGTTAGCCCCTCGCAGTCCCAAAGTCATGTCCGGTAAGTTCGTCCCATTTCACAAATATGCAAAAGCACAGTTCAGTCCCCGACGATGCCACAGCCATTCATGGCTAAGAGTCCAAGACAGCGTTAGACCTCATTTAAACACACCGCTGCGTGGTAGGTTAACAGGTCAGAGTGTTCAAACAGGCTGCATGAGCAGCGTAGCAGTGCGTCCAAACGCATCCCGAAGTGGTGCGGAATCTACAGAATATGGTTAATGTTCAGTGCTAATAGAAGGCCAACATGAAGGTCTACCAGGCTTGAAACAACTTGAGCAAAGTAAGTGATTTGACTCCACTTGGAAAAAAGCACGTCTGTAGACAGCAGGCACACTTCTGCTCCCGCCACACAAAGGTGGGCCTAAATATCTTGCCCTGTGCCATGTGTATCAGTGCGATATCAGGTGTCCATCCAGTGTCCAACGTGAGACACAATAACAGCAGTTCCATGAAAAAACCCTAAAAACAGTCCTGAATGCATCACGTCCTTATGCAATAAGTATAATCCACTCAGCTCTCACATCAAATTTCATTCCAAAGAGCTCCCAGACATCAAATCCATTTATCAAATGGATCGCAGAAGATCCCAACACCAGCGTCTGACGCCTCTCTCTCGTTACACTGAAGCTTAATCTACATTCACATTGCCGATGTTAAAGCTTGATCAACAGTTCAGGCGATTTCTAGTTTAATACGGGTTTCCACGGTAATCTTTAAACCAATATCTTAGCAAAAAATCAATTGTACACAATTTTCCCTTCACACTAAACATATTCAGTCAGCTCTGTCTGATGTTTGCTTCTTTGGTTTTGCACTAGAGGCGCTAATGTAGCTAACAAGTAAGGAAAGCTTACAGGCTCCAATTAGCATGGTGCTAACCGCATCCCTAGACATACTATATAGGTGCACTTTGTAGTTCTACAGTTACAGACTGTAGTCCATCTGTTTCTCTGATACTTTGTTAGCCCCCTTTTACCCTGTTCTTCAGTGGTCAGGACCCCTATGGACCCTCACAGAGCAGGTACTATTTGGGTGGTGGATCATTCTTAGCACTGCAGTGACACTGACGTGGTGGTGGTGTGTTAGTGTGTGTTGCGCTGGTCTGAGTGGATCAGACACAGCAGTGCTGCTGGAGTTCTTAAACACCTCAGTGTCGCTGCTGGACTGAGAATAGTCCACCAACCAAAAACATCCAGCCAACAGCGTCCTGTGGGCAGCGTCCTGTGACCACTGATGAAGGACTAGAGGACGACCAACACAAACTGTGCAGCAGCAGATGAGCTATCGTCTCTGACTTTACATCTACAAGGTGGGCCGACAAGGTAGGAGTGTCTAATAGAGTGGACAGTGAGTGGACACAGTGTTTACAAACTCCAGCAGCACTGCTTTGTCTGATCCACTCGTACCAGCGCAACACGCACTAACACATTATCACCACGTCAGTGTTACTGCAGTAAGTGGAGCTGATAAAATGGACAATGAGCGTAGAAACAAGGAGGTGGTCATAACGTTACGCCTGACCAGTGTAGCTTCCACTTCTAGCTATGCTAACATGCTTTGGTTCATGTTTAAAGGTCACAGTTTGTCATTTAAATGCATAAGCAAGTCTATTAGAGTTTACTTAACAACGCAACACCAAAGACGTTCATGCAAGACCAAGTACGGTCTGGAATCTTGAAAAGTTTCTAGTGGTTCCTGGTGGTGTCCAGTAGTCACAAATGGTATTTTGTGTTTTCCTGGTTTACCAGTTGTAACAGATGTTCTGGGACTGATTCTAGATGCATTAAATGGTTTCCTAATGGGATCTAAAGGTGTTCTATAGGAAACTAAGCAACCCAGATAGCGAGCATATATCGGTCCGCTGGCTTGATAAGGTCGGCACCCCACTGACTGTTTGCCACTGCTGGTCCCCCCTCGGACCGCCCAGGTTACTGTCCTGCATACAAGCTCTAACTAGTTAGTCTCCTCAAATAGATTTTAAATGCACAGAGACTTTTATTTTAGAAAATAAACAAAATAAAAGACAAATATTACAAATAACTGAGAGAAAAAGAAAATCATGACTAGGCCTGATATAAAATGATTTTATAGTAAATGTTGTTTCTGGATTAAAATTATTTACTAAACTAATTTACAAAGTGTAACTAAAGAAGGAAGGAAGGAGAAATCAGCAAATTGAACTGTGAGTGGAAAATGAGTGATGATAAGTGGAATTTTGAATTACTCTGCTTAACCACCGGGGGGCCGCCCAGAAAACGCTGAGCAAAACACCAGTGGACCGCCAGCTTTGCCATCAGTGGGCCCGACAGTGGTCCACTATCCTCTTGCTATCAGGGAAGTTCAAACAGCTGGTTAGTATGCAGTTCACAAAGCCCGCAAGCTAGCTGGATCAATAACTGTTGCAGTTGAAACTGAGGATTAAAGGAATAACTTACAACTTTAACGTCAGTTGTGCTAGCTAGCTGTCCAAACTACATGCTAGTCCATTGTTTAAAGTTGCCTCTTTCCTTTAAAGGCTAAATTTGCTGTGTAGTGCTTCAGTGATCAAAAGAAGTACTAGTTAAACGGTTGCATGCTACATACATTTTCTGTTTTACGGCTTCCCACCCTTCATTCAGATTAAAACCTGATGGTTTTTGCTTTCTTATGGGAATTGGCCTAATGGTTACCAATGGAGACCACTAGTTTCCTGTAGGACACCTTTAGATTCTCTCAGGAAACCATCAAATGCCTCTGGAATCAGAACACCTGTTAAACCATTAGAGTCATTTACACTGTGATATCAACCCATCAGAAGAACACAGAATACCATAAGTGTCTACTGGACACCACCAGGTACCCAGAGAAACTTTTAATGGCTACTATGATTGTTTTTAGCAGCGCTGGCTTGACTTGTCACAGTTTCGTGCTCTTTTACGAATTATATTTTTACTGCGCAAAGTAACTGATTTGATTAATAAGTCAAATGAGTTAGCAAGTAAGCTAGCTAGCTAGGTCACGTGCTAATACAGCTGAAAGGAATGTGATCTGTAACTTAGTAAAGCTTCAGCTACAACTTTAGCATGGTGCTAATTACATGCCTGAATTGTCATGAAGTGTATCTAGAAGTAGCCACCCTGCTAGAAAAACAGCATAGAGCATTATAGGTGGCAAAACGAGCACATGTTGTGTTTTGGATGCTGGTATGCTGGTCAACCAGTATGACCATGCTGGGTGACCAGCTAAACCAGCACCAGAGCAGCTCTAGACCAGCATAAAACAGGAAATGTTGTGATTTGGATGCTGGCATGCTGGTCAACCAGCATGATCAAGCTGGGTGACCAGCTAAACCAGCACCGAACCAGCTCTAGACTAGCATAAACAAGCATATGTTGTGTGTTGGATGCTGGTATGCTGATCAAGCTGGGTGACCAGAATAAATCAGCACAGACCAGCTTAGACCAGCGTGGACTTCTTACTGGTCTGCGCTGGTCTTTTCAGCAGGGTGGTATGCTAGCTAGCATGCTTGCTATTCAAACTACATGCAGGTCAACAATTTCAAGTTGTTTGGCCTCTTTGGTTTAAACATTATATTTACATCAGACTGAAGGTGTTTCCACCCCAACGCGACCCAGAAGGATAAGCGGTTTAGATGATGTGTGTGTGTGTGTGTGTGTGTGTGTGTGTGTGAAGGTGTTTCCATGTTGAAAGGTTCGTTATTTGAAGCCGTACTGAATCTGATGCCACTGTGAGCTGCAGGAAAACAGCACCACAGTAATCACAGTTCAATCACGCTCGTAAGATTGGAAACTAAAGGTTTTATCCATTCGCTGAATTACAGTTGGCGGCCCTAATTTAATCTGCTCATGTGTTTTTCTCAGGCTGGAAAGGTCCCTGTGACGTAAGTCCGTGCCGTTAGCACAATGCTAACTGGTGTGGTACATGTTTCCATTACTTGTTAGCTACATTAGCTCCAGGGCTAAAACGAAATAACCTTCAGATGCCAAACATGCACTGCAAAAAATATCTTAGCAGGTGAAAACATCTTAAATCTAGTCCATATATTAGTTTTATCGAGTGCAGTTGTCTTAATTCACTGGCAGATCATTTTACGTGTTTCAAGAAATAATGCAGATAGCTTGGCTTGAAATAACGAACATGATCTGCCAATGGAATAAGACAATTTTCTAGACGAAAAAACTTATAAAACAAGTAAGAAACATCTCGAAATAGGTTGAAGAATCTTGTAATAATCTTAAAAACATTTGACAAATATTAGATCTTAAATCTTAGATCTTAAGTCTTAGATCTTAAATATTAGATCTTAACTCTTAAAAATAAATGACAAATATTAGAGATATTGGCCAGATTTAAGATGTTTTCTTAGATATAGCTAAGATCTCATTTTTACAGTGTGCCTTGTCCGATCACTTTGGCTAAAGGAAACTGTGTACATTTGATTTTTCGGCCAAACTATGGCTTTAACAAGGAGAGTCTGTCCTGTCTCTCTCCATGGCCTCGTCCATTTCGTCCATCTCTCTCTCGCAGTCCTCGCAGCCCTCCGGCCCGCATCCCCCCACCAGCACGAGCGTGGGCACATCGCCGTCCCCCACCACTCCCATGCTGCCGTCCGCCCACACCGTGTCCATCATGCCATTGGGACAGTGCAGCAGGCTGCTGACGGAGTACAGCCCCGGCCCTCCGGCCCCTGGGACCACCTCCTCGTAGGCCGGGGCGCGACTGGCAGCCCGGGACTCCTCCAGCCGAAGCCTCTGCCTGTGCCGCAGCTCGATGATGGTTTTGGTGTAGGAGTTGAGGGTGAGGACGGCGGCGCCCATACAGCAGCTAAAGGACACCCACGCCAACCTGAGGGGCAGCGGAGATTAAACAGTTAACCCCTGATGGTCAGCAGGGACGTGTTTGGTTCTGCTTCTTCAGTTTTGCACTGGAGCTACGGGGCTAATGTGATAATACAGTATCGCAAAGTTAATGTTATCATGCTAAATTACATCATATTATATCACAGCATGCTTTTCTGAGTATATGGTGGATATCATTGGCACTTAATAACACCTCCTAACCGCATACACAGCATAATATACTGGACTGGTGTAGCGTCGTAAGCAAAATGTTGAATACGCTGTCATGAATTATTATATTCATTAAGCATCAATATATTCAATCAACATCACATTTGGCTCAAACTGTGATGACTTGTTAAGTAATCTCTAAGAGACTCGCACAATTTTCCACCAAGACATGTTTTGTGTCCAACTTTTGCATCTTTAGTTTAGCGCTGGTGATAACTTTGCTAACAAACACTAGAAGTCAATAGTCACCCAAATCTTTTCTGCAAATACAATCTCATTACAACTCTCAGCCTGCACTCAGCTCTTCATTACGGTGGTGCAGACTTGTCAGTGTGGTTTAGGAGACAGTATAACATTGAGCAATACAAATGTACAACTTAAGATATATGTATAGAAATAGAAACAACAGAAATTGCATAATCTAATGTCCAGTGTGTCCCATGTGAACACCTGTTGTCTAAATCGGCGGCTGAAGATAGAGTAAATAGTACGTTTTCTTTGGGGACTATTTTGCTTCACAGTGCCCTGCATGTATCCCTCCACCATGAGTAGATTTAAAACATGCGTTTTAGGCTAAAACTCTGCTCAAAGCTGTCATAAAACAATGTCTCAGACATCAGGCAGTGAATACATAACCATTTCATGTAAACAGTTAAGATGCAAACAAAGTTGTTCAGAGTGGTTTGGTGTGAAACGCTCTGTTCTAGATAAATTTACCGAGTCAGAACTGTTCACAGTGGTGGTGATAGGAACCAGACGTCCACCTCTAAAAGCTCCCTCACAGAAAGTTACTACATGAAATGATTGTGAATTCACTCCCTGATGACTGAGACACTGTTTTACTGTTTATGATAGTTATGAGAAGATTTTGGCCTTAAACTCCATTCATGGTGGAGGGATACATAATCTGCAGAGCGCTTTGATGCAAAATAGTCCCCAAAGAAAACTTATTATTTCAGATTTTTCACTATTTTCCATCATCAACATTCCATATAAACTCAGAAGACTCGTGTAGGTTCACTGGTGGTTCTGGATAGTAAATAAAATGTCTATATTTCTGTTGTAGTCATGGCGACCCCTGGTTCCTATGACCACCACTTTAAAGACATCTGAACCATTTCACACCAAACCACTCTGAATCACTCTGTTTACATCTCACACTGAATTATGCAGAAAGCTTGAAAAATGCGGATTGAATGATGAAGACAGGACTGACGGAACTCACGCAAATGACCAGCCGTAGTCCCAGCTCTGCGGCCTCCAGTCTTTGGGTCCAACAATAACCGTCAGCTGGAAAACTGTCGTGTACATCATGTGGGCCACCATCCCCATCAGGCCTGAGAGAAACAGAGAGAATTACCACCTACTGTGACTCGAAGCGACTGCAATTTCCAATCTTTAGGCCTGCAGAGCGCCAGGTTATCCTCCTACCTGACAGCACAGTGCATATGGCTGCGAACGCATTGATTTTGAGCGCATGCATTTCTTTATGTGAGCACAGAACCTCCAGCCACATCAGCAGGAAGCCCATCCCCAACAAACTGATGTACATGAACTCAGAAACCATGGACAACCAGAGAACACCTTCAACAGAGAGAGGGAGTGAGAACGAGGGAGGCTTCACATGCATCGGCACACATATACATACACTGTATGTCCAGAAGTATGTGGACGCCAGCGTTTCTTCTGAAATGAAGGGTATTTTTAGGGAGTTTGACCCCCTTTGCTGCAATAACAGCCTTAACTCTTCTGGCAAGTCTTTACACTAGACGTTGGAACATTGCTGTGAGGATTTGATGGCAGCCGCAAGACCATTAGTGAGGTCTAGAGATGTTAGATGATTACTTCTGGATTCACAAATCACGCTTTCTATAGTTCACTTATGTGATTTTTGTCTTAATCCAGATGTTGACGTGTTTGGTGGCCAAATTCTGAATTTTTTATTTTAGCACTGGTGCTAAAAGGCTAACAAACACTAGAAGTCAATAGTCACCCAAATCGTTTCTATAGAAATACATCCCCAAAACTTCTCTCAACTCACTCAAACCACATCCAGGTCTCCATTAAGGTGGCACAGATGTGGTCTAGGACATAGTATGACTACTGTGAGCTATAAAAATGAACAAATTTTATGCTTTTATTTTTTAATGACACGTATTGTGGTAAATTGCAACATCCCTGCAGAATCAGACTTCATGATTTCTGTTTCAACATATCTTACATTCAAGATTAAACACATTATATAAAAAGGAACAACATAAATCAGAAAGCATCCATACGTTTGCACGATGCCATGCACACAAAAAGGAGGCAGAAATTGGCATAACATCTGTTGTTACTTGCATTCAGGAGAAGTTCTGTTCATTTTTAAAGCTCAAAGTGTGTCATTCTGTGTCCTAAGCCACATCAACAAGTCTGCACCACCTTAATGAAGAGCTGGATGCGATTTGAGCAGGTTGAGAGACAAAATGGGGATGTATTTAAGATTTGGGTGACTATTGACTTCCAGTGTTCGTTAGCGATGTTAGCCTCACAGCTCCTAAACTAAATAAGCCAAAGTTGGACTCCAAACATGTTTTATTTGATTGACTACATTGTTGAGTGTTAATCTGTGCACATTTGATTTTCTGAGAAAACATTCCTTTAAAATAGTCAAATCCATTAAAAGGAAGGAGCATCTGGATACTTTTGGACAGGCACACGTAGACACATACATGCATGCATATTCAGGCATGCATGCTTACGTCTGCGCAGACACACAATATCCTCACCATGCGTTTCTCCGGGGGTTAAATCGAGGAAGCTGCGACATCGTTCCCCTGCAGAGCAACAGAAAACCGGGTTACTGCGATATTTAGCTTGTTTCTATGAAGGCTTACAGAAGATATGTCCAGTCTGGGTCCTGGACATCGTCCACCCTGGACATTTCAGATCCAACACATCTGACTGCAGATGCACTGCAGATGACAATGAAGGTCTTTATTACCTACACTCTCAAAAAAGATGGTGCTTCAAGGGTTCTTAAGCAAAGAAAATGGTTCCATATAGAACCATGAACACTCAAAGAACCCTTTGCATGAATAAAGTGTTCTTTGCATCATGAAATAGTTCTACAAAAGAGCACCAAAAAGGGTTCTTCTATTGTTACAAGTCTGACATGTAACAAGAAAAATCCTTTTGTGTGCTATATAGAGCCATTTTCAAAAAGGTTCTATTTAGAACCACATAGAGCACATTCTCAATGAGTCTGAAGAACCATTTCATGATGCAAAGAACCCTTTAATCATGCAAAGGGTTCTTTGAGTGTTCATGGTTCTATATAAGACCTTTTTGAAAAGAGTTCTATATAGCACCCAAAAGGGTTCTTCTATTGTTACAAGTTTGACACCCTAACAATAGAATAGAACAATTGTGTGCTATACAGAACCATTTCCATATAGGTTCTATATGGAACCATATACAGCACATTCTTCAACAACCTGATGAACCATTTCATGATGCAAAGAACCCTTTAATCATTTATGATTCTATACAGGACCTTTTTCAAAACGGTTCTATATAGCACCCAAAAGGGTTCTTTTAGTGTTACAAGCTTGACACCATAACAATAGCAGAACACTTTTGGGTGCTATGCAGAACCATCTGCAGCACATTATCCATCAATCTAAAGAACCATGTCATGATGCCTCATATACTGACTGGAGTACTCAAATTCTCACTCTTAAAATCACCCTTAAAAACAGTATTTATAATTAACCGTAATGTAAAGTACGTTTGTTACTGCAGTTCAAAATATATGTGCTTCAAGGGTTCTTAACCTCTTCAACTCCTTGGAACCACCGGTGGTTCCAAAACGCACTTCGTAACTTTCATATTTCATAAGCTACATTCTAAAGGTGGGGATCGTATGAGAGCTGTAACTGTCTTCTTTCCAGTCAAATAGATGGGTGATGTAATTTTAACCCTTATAATTTTTCTACTGAAAGTCGACCCATTTTTCCACAAATCTGGGCTATAAACTATAAACAGATGGCGTCTCTTCAGTGATCTGCTCTGTACAAATTACTTTATAAAATAATACAAAGAGCATCTAAGATTTTTGGCTTTCAGCAGTAAATTGTAAGCATATAGCAATATTTACAAAAAAATAATGAATAAAATCAAAATTTACATTTATTTACTGAATAATTTGCCTTACGATTGGTCATAAAAAATCAGAATCATATCAAAATAATCAGATCAAATCATGGTGAGATTTCATGATACACTGAACCGTTTCCTAAACAATCAGAATCAAATCAAATTGTTACAGTCATATGCAAAAGTTTGGGCGCCCCTGTAAAATGGCATGTTTTGTTTATTTTCTAAGTGAATATAAGATAACATCCTCTACAGAGACACACTGAAATATTTCAGTGCACAGTTACTGTTTATTTACTGAATTTAACACATTGGGGAAAGATTAAGTGCGAAAGTCATGGCACATTTTATGTTTTATGTTTTATGTTTTCCTATATCTTAAACTCAGCAAATAAACAGAGCTTGTGGGCTAAAGTCTACTTTAAGTGCACTGTAGAGGATGTGTTCACTTATTTTCACTTAGAAAATCAACAAGACATGTAATTCCACCTATTGCATACGACTGTCTGAGGTCAAAGATTTAGGCCTCTTGGCAACAACACAACACTTGAGGTGCCACTTTTTGAAAACATAGGCCTTGTTTAGACTGACAGACCAAATCTGATTTTTGGCATATCCAGATTGTACCCAGATTAATTTTTGGTAGTCTGAACAGCAAAAATCCAGCACACATTTGGAGCTGGTTTGAAATGTGACTCCAATCGGATTTTTACAGATGAGTCTCAGTCTGGACACTCATATCGGATTTCAAAGTGTCTTTTGCATCACTCACAACATGACAAACAACAACAATAGGTGTGTTTACATGCACTCAATAACCTGATCATAATCAGATTTCTGCAGTTATCTGATTATTCAAATGGTCATGTAAACACCATACTCTGATCTAGAAATCCGATTAAGAAATCTGATAAAGAGGCTGGATTTTAGCTCAGTAATCAGATTTCTCAGTGCATGTGAACTCTTACTCTGATTTCTTTCGGGTTTCTCAGTCTGCGCGTGTGCAAAAACAGACAGCGGCACCAGAAATAAGCGAGCAGCATCGCCGCGAAATGCAGCAAAACACTATTGGAGTGGTGCTGAAACCAAATACGAAATAAAGGATTTAAATATTCTTCATCTTCCAGATGATGTTTGTTTATATTTTCAGGTAAAGTGTTGTGATGTTTAAAAAAAGCCGTCGTATGAAGTTTGAGTTTTACATTACGTTTACATCACGTCTTCTTCTGTGAGTTTATTGGCTGGTTGTAAAGCAGAAATCTGATTACTGTCTGACTCATGTAGACCTGGAGTTTCACCATCATCTGATTACTCAAATGTAAACGTGTTGATCGGATCACTGACAAAATCTGATTTTCTGCAGTTATCAGATCATTAAGTGCATGTAAACGCACTCAATGTCAAATCCAGAGTGATGAAGTGCTGGGATTCAAGAAGAGCTCCAAAGATTCATGATTATGAAGTGAATTCTGAAGAGTTTGGAGGGTGAGATGATGCTCCTCCATCTCTCCCTGCATCCATGTTTGAAATCCGCATCACCAGCGTAGCCACGTAGTTACTGACGCCTACGTCGTTACCACGGCAACCCATGCAGATAGACTGGTGATGTCTGGACACACAAATCTGATCTGATCACTTGCAAATAACAGAGTCGTCTCAAAAGGTCTGATTTAAGAAGTAAATCTTTTTAAATTTGCCTGCAGTCTGAAGTAAGAGAGCCTTAGAGACTACAGGCTCTCTGCTCCTCTTTCTCTGTATTTCATCACTCTATTCCAACACCCTGCTTTCACTCCTCTCACCGTCAGCGTGTTTCTCGCACGACTCCCAGAAGCCCGTGTGGAAATAGCGGAACATGTACTTGTCCTCTCCCGTCTCCCAGATGTAATGCACAGCGTTGGCCAGCTGCCTCTGACGAATCCTGGCCAGTTCCTCCCTCCGCTTCGGCGAAATGGTTCTATTGGAGGGCCCCCGGGGGTCCGGGGTGGGGCTTTCTGCAGAGATACAACAACAAAATGTCACATCTTAATGGTGCGAAGTATCAATACTGAATCAGGAGAATAAAAAACAGGCTAAATTATGGTGATTGTGCTCTGCTGTGAGCCTGAAATACTCGTCGGGAGTTTTTCACACCATGTTGTACGCCTTAATTGCACTACAGTCATATGCACAGGCTCACAAAGAAGGACCAGCTCAATTTTTAGGCTGAAATCAACAAAATACTGAAGTCAATAGTAGATAATCCACTCCATTTCAATTCTCTTTCAATCCTCAGATTCATCCGCTTGGGGAAGGGGACCAAATCACAACCCACATTAAAAAATGTTGCATGCAATTACACATTTCCACCAGAGAGGTCTCCAAATCACAAAAACATACATAGTGTAGCTTTATGTGATGACAACTCAAATGAAATATACATGATTTCCCTCCCTTCCCCCCAATGTAGAAAATCTGACATGACTTGTTTATAAATAATAACGTGTAATACAGTGTCAGAAACCACATAATCGACTCTGTTATAGATTACATAACTTGACAAACCCTGCAGCCTGCAGTTTGCACAATGCTAATTGATTATTATCGAGTTCCATCAAGTCGATTCCGACTTGACGACCCTATGGATGGTGTTTCTCCAGAACGTCCTGTCTTCTGTTTGGCTGGTTCATGATTCCTCTGATTGTCTCCATCCATCATTTAGCTGGTCATCCTCTTTCTTTTTTGCCTTCAACTCGTCCAAGCATAATGGTTGACCTCTAATAAACTGGTTCTTCTCAGTTATCTGGGCTTTGAGTGAAAAACGAGGCTTGGATCCGATTGTTTTCTTTGCCGTCCAAGACATCAGTGTTTTTCCTGTCTCGCTTGTTTACTGTCCATCTTTCACATCCACAAAGAACCACAGCCTGGACACTTCTCAAGCTCCTTCATCTGTGTTCTGCTGAGTGCTGATATCTTCAGTGCTGGATCCTGAGTTGCTAACAATTGATCTGAGTTGGCAAAAGCTGTGCACCATCTTCTCCATCAGTGGTGAAGTTAGATCTTTCCTCTGTCATCACAACCCCAGTCTTCTTTATATTGAGCATCTTTTCACTCTGTCCTTTAACATTCCTCATAATGGCCTTCAGATCAGTGTTGCATCATCCGCATATCGAAGGTTGATGGTTCTTCCACCAATCCTGAATCCTCGATCATCTTCCTCCAGACCTGCTCCTCTTATTACACGTTCAGATACAGGTTAAACGAAAGGGGTGACAGTGGGCAGCCTCGTCTTGCTCCTTTGCCGATGTGGGGCCAGTCTGTTAGTCCATCTTCTGTTATGACAGTGGCTTGTTGATCAGTGTAGTTCCTCATTAAAACGATGAGATTCCTATCTTTATGGGGACATTTCATAATTTTATGTGGTCGACACAGTTTAAGGCTGTAATCAGTGAAACACGTTGAATTCCTTCTCTAATTTCTTCAGCTTTGTTTAAATATGAATATAAACATGCATTTTACATATAAATACAGTAAGTGGATGTTATGTAATGGACAATAATAACATATAAGCTACAAAACGGGTTTAATTATTATAAACCTTATACTTCCTTTATCAAAGCAAACAGGTATGCTTTGTTTATCATATATACATTCTATTAACAATTAATGTGTTTCTGTTATTCTGGCCACGAGTCCAAGAGTGTTTTAGAAAAGCCAGAGAGTTTTTGAGGTTCTCTGAGGTGCTGTTTGGTTCCACTGCAGCTTCTGAATGAAACACAGGAACTGACTTATGTCACAGTGTAATGTGGGAGGTTAAAGCAGGTAATCGAGCTGTGTGTGCATGAGAAAGAGAGACAGAGAGAGAGAGAGAGAGAGAGAGAGAGAGAGACAGAGATAGTAACTCAATCTTGAACAAATCCATTGTAACAGGCTTATAGTTTGCGTACTAGAGTGAGAGAGAGAATAATGAAGAGACACATCACAACCTGTCATTCAACAAGAGCTTTAAGAGGCCTCTGTTGAGATCACCACCAAAAACATGTGCAAGACTCAGGTCTTAAAGGGAAATTCCACCCATTTTTCAAAATTCCTGCATATTTCCATGGTTGTAAACAGAGAGATTCAGAGTGGTTTGGTGAGAAATGGTTCAGAATTGTTTACAGTGATGGTGATAGGAACCAGACGCCCACCTCTAAACGCTCCCTCACAGAAAGTTACTACATGAAATGGTTATGAATTCACTGCCTGATGACTGAGACACTGTTTTATGATAGTTTTGAGAAGATTTTGTCCTTAAACTCCATTCATGGTGGAGGGATGCATGATATTCAGGCCGTTGTGAGGCAAAATAGTCCCCAAAGAAAAATTATTTTTTCAGATTTTCCACTATTTTCCCATCATCAACATTCCATATAAACTCAGAAGACTCGTGTAGGTTCACTGGTGGTTCTGGATAGTAAATAAAATGTCTATATTTGTGTGGTAGTCATGGCGACCCCTGGTTCCTATCACCACCACTGTAAAGACATCTGAACCATTTCACACCAAACCACTCTGAATCACTCTGTTTACATCCCAACCACTGAATCTGCTTCTGATCTTCAGGGAAAAGATGAGGAGCACTCCCACAAGCCCTCCTGTATATCATTGCTGTGGGAAAAAAAACTCTGAAATGGCAGGAAAAAAATATTCTTCTAGTCAAAATAACCATTAAGTACAAGTTATTGAGCATCACTAAGCATCGGCTGACAAAAACAAAACTTCCATTCTTTTCAGGAGACTCACTTTCAGTTCCTCAAAGAATCTGCAGACACACCTCCAAAGTTCAGTCTTAGAAGCTGGTTGATGATTTTCTGAAGTAATCAAACACATTCAGTGGTGTTGAGGTCTGGACTCTGGGGTGGTCAGTCCATTGTTCAGCTTCTTTGTTTGATGTGTCCGTCTCCTTTTCTCAGTGAGGTTCTTCTTGATCAGCTACACATCCTTTCAGACCCACAGCGCTGAGTCGTCTTCTCACAGTGGAAGAATGGACAGAAACACCTGTGGATGTTTTCAGATCTGAAGCAGCTTGATTTTCTCCTCTCTCTCAAAGATGAAAGCTTTTTGGGGCAGTTTTGGGGTCTACCAGATCTTCCAGGTGGTTGTTAGGAGCCCTGTTTTCTCTGGAGCTTCTAATCGTTTTGGAAACTCCTGCTTTAGGATGAGTCGATTATCTTATATCTAACCTCCTCAGATATATGTCTTTTACTTAATGGCTGTTTTGACTAGAAATTAAATAAATAGGTACACTAAATGATAAGTGCCTCTCACCTGTAGTGTAAGGCTCACTGTTGTTCTGGCCACAGTTCTTCATCTTGACCGGCGACAGGCAGAGCGGTTTGACCACTTTGTGCGTTCCCTCACACCAGTAGGAGGTGCAGAAGGCCAGAACGGAGAGAGCCAGGGCGAGGGAGGTGAGAGAGAGAGAGAGAAGAGAGCGAGAGCGGCGAGGCATGTGGTCCAACATTGCTGCGGAAGAGGCGAGAGGCCAGACAGAAGGTCATAATGACATCAGATAATGGCTAATATACCAGGCTAGCTGAGGTCCCCTGCGCCAATATGTGTATGACCTCTGATTCTGATTGGCTGCCTTCGTTCAAAAAGCATTAGGACTTGAAATAAGCAGTAACAACACTCTTTATCACTTCAGTGGGAGCAGAGCTGTTGGCAGAACGATCAGTTGTATGGAAATGTCTGTATGATCGTGACATCATAACCATGATGAATTCAAAACAGGCAAGGTCAGTATGGTTTCCATAATAAAGGCATTAAATAGACATTAAAATCCTTGCATTATAACATTTTTCACATTTTCTGACCAGCCAAATAATGACATATACACCCTAAAATGCTTCTGCCTACATTGTGATTAATTACGTTGGTACCAGTTCATTATTATATCTATCTTGTAGCTACCCTCGTTGGCCATTTTATCAGAAACACCTACCATTACAGGTTTACAGCTACTGGCCGTAGCCATTCTGCTGCTGCACAGTTTATGAGCCCCCCTCTACCTTGTCCATGAATAGAATTGGACCATCGTAGGACCACTGGGGTGTTTACATACATGTGGCCACTTTATCAGAAACTCTGCTCTTGTATCTCCACCTTGCTGGTGTACAGTTACAGACTGTAGCCCACTTTGGGCTCACCATCTTCTAATCTGTCATCACAGGTCAGTTTCTGACCACAGTCACTCTTAGCTGGATATTTTTGAGTGGTGGACCAATCTTAACCTAGCAGTGGCACTGATGTACCTGATAAACTCATACCAGTCCCACCAGTTTGGGCAATAAACGTTCAAAACTCTGTCAAAAACGGGAAAAAAAGCACCTCTACAATTATGCTAATTTCTGATAGCACCACTATGGTATTCTAGTTGTATGCTAGCGCTAAGCTAAAGACGATTCACATGAACATTCGTTGGCCATTTTAGATTAAACACAGACATTTTTGTAAAAGACATTAACAAATATCTGAGCTTGTATCAGTTTTACAGTGACTCTTTGAGCTGGCATAGAGCCGCCACCGCTAACCAGAACCTGCTTAGACTGCAGCTCACAGTCAGTGATGTATCTAGAACAGGGGTGTCAAACTCAACCACTAAAAGGGCCTTATAAAAAAATCTGAACAAATCCATGGGCCGGCAGTGTTTTTATTTTATTTTTACTTAACATTTTGCCACAATCTGAACGGGTCGTTGTTTGTTATGCCAAAACTACAACAGCAAAAAATCAGCACTGAATACTTGAACAATTCAAAATAATTTAAAATAGTTTTTGATATAAAATTAATGAAGAAATAAATAAATAATGTTTTATATAAACAACAGACTAAATTAGCTGCAGATCACTGTTAAACCTCTTTAAATGTCCCCAGTGTACAGCAGGTTTTTTAAAACTGCCCATTCGCTTGAGCTTAAGGTGCCCCTAAGGGGCCGTGGTTAAAAAAATTGTAAAAAGTGAATGACGTGTTCCCTCGCAAATGTTTTGCATTACAATGCAAACGGTTTACATTGGCTTGCAAAAGCTGTGCTTTGCTTAAGCTCAGAGATGAAGCAGCTCATTGAATTTTACGTTGATTTTGGATTGAAATATAAAGACATAGTGTCGCTTCTCAGAATCAAACATGATTCTGTTAGTGACTCAAACTGAGACTGAGGCTGAGGGTCCTCATACAGTAAAAGCTACATTTACAGAGGCTGCAGAGAACAACAGCTGAATAAACTCAGCTCAGACTGGCCGAACTGGGAAAACAGCTTTTAACGTTAGCTATGCTAAAAACAGGCACCTCTAATGTTGTTGGGCACCTCTGGTTCTATGTTTGCTTGCTGTCTGATGAGCATATATTTTGCGAGGGACCGCGATGTCATTAACTTTTACCACGGCCCCTTAGGGGCTCCGTATGAACTAGACACCTGGCATCTTTTCTTTTTGTTGTTTTTGTGGTGCACTCCCATAGATCGTTACTGGGGAGGGGGTGAGAGCACACATCATGTTGCAGTGCATGTTGGGAACTGAGTGCAGTCCCATGGTGAAATGGGCTAATACTAATAGAACATTAAAATAATTTTGTGGGCCAAGTAGGATTGCACCACAGGCCTGCCTTGTATATGACACATGGGATCTAGAACCTCCAGAAGGACTAGAGTGATGTTTTTTCTTCTATTGTAAACCGAATTGGACATTTTTCTGTTGGGCATTTCAGGAATTTAACCCTTCAGTTCCCATTAAATATGAAATAAGAGTATTACTACAATACTGCAGAGTTTAAAGACGATAATAATTACTCTATTTAATAAAAATCCTGGGTATTTTTAGTCCATAGAAATCATTAGACCTTCTCTACCGTGTCAGTGTCATGTCAGGTCAGCACTGGTCCTATGATGGTCCATTTCCATTGATGGATGAGTAGCAACAGATGGGCTACAGTCTGTAAGTTTAAACCTACAAAGAGCACCTAAACTGGACTTTTGCTAACTTAGTAAGGCATTCATTAACATTTATGTAATGAGCACACAGTACAGGCGTCCCATCCACGGTAATAACACCACATACACTGCCATGCAGTGGGAATGGAACAGGAACGGAGGGAAGGAGGAAGTGAGGATTATGTTTTTGATTAAATTATTGGTTAAGCTCCTGCTTTCAGTCTAACTTGTAGTGTGTATGAATCTGAGTGTTAGTGTTGGTGTAGGTGTGATTTAGACTGCACTGGGCCTCAGCAATATAGAAAATATATGATGAAAAGAGCTGGATGAACCCACGAGAAGTTCATACATAATGTCTTGATATTGTATGTTGAAATGTAGATTTACCTCTTAAGTAACTTTACATATCACTGTTGTCGGAACAAAACCTCGTATCTCCATAATGGTAACTTTATAGGAAAAAGAAAAAACCTACTTCACTTTTAATGCAAGTCAATGGAACCAGACATCTTTCCAAGTCATTTTAGTCCAGTTTCTTTGGTCCATTCTTAATAAAATATACATACAATGTGAAGAACAACAGACATTTTTAAATAATGTCAAAAACTGAAAAACGACAAAAATGGAGATACAAGGTTTTCTACAGACAATAGTGATATGTACATTAGCAGTCAAAAGTTTGGACACCTCATTCATTGTGACTGACTGAAAGAATGCCAAGAGTGTGCAAAGCTGTCATCAAAGCAAAAGGTGTCTATTCTGGTCTGTGTAACACTTTTTTGTTTACTACATAATTCCATACGTGTTCTGTCATAGTTTTGATGTCTTCAATATTAACCTACGATGTAGAAAATTTGGTGTGTCCAAACTTTTGACTGATAATGTATAAATTGCTGCTGTCTAAAGAAAAAACATGTATTTCCATTTCTGCAGCAGCACTGCTGTGTCTGATCCACTCAGACCAGCACAACACACACTAACACACCACCACCACATCAGTGTTACTGCAGTGCTGAGAATGATCCACCACCCAAATAGTACCTGCTCTGTGAGGGTCCATGGGGGTCCTGACCACTGAAGAACAGGGTAAAAGGGGGCTAACAAAGTATCAGAGAAACAGATGGACTACAGTCTGTAACTGTAGAACTACAAAGTGCACCTATATAGTAAGTGGAGCTGATAAAATGGACAATGAGCATAGAAACAAGGAGGTGGTCATTTTGTTATGCCTGATCGGTGTGTATATATACATATACATCTCATATTAACCTCAAACCAGTTCCTGCACTTCTTACAGTGGAATAAAGTTTGAAGATTACACACATTTTAAAGGGGAATTCCACTAATATTTCCAAATTTCTGCATAATTAAACGCTTCAGAGTCATTCAGAGTGGTTTAGTGTGAAACGCTCCGTTCTACAGAAACTTATTGAGTCAGAATTGTTCACAGTGGTGGTGATAGGAACCAGACGTCCACCTCTAAAAGCTCCCTCACAGACAGTTATTGCATGAAATGGTTATAAATACCCTGAGGATTTATGACTACAACACAAATATAGACATTTTATTTACTATCCAAACCCACCAGTGAACCTACACGAGTCTTCTGAGTTTCATATGGAACGTTGATGATGGAAAATAGAGGAACATCTGAAAAGTATGTTCTCTTTGGGGAGAATTTTGAACAATCGGTGGAGTTCCCCTTTAAGCATAGTTAATCTGAAAGTAATAATCTTACCAGCATCCACTTTTTCAGCTTGTTATTTGGAATAAAATAATGTGAATCTTTAAAACTGAACTGTATGTAATACGATTTGTTTTTTTTCTCACCTGTAAACTTCCGTCTTCAGTCACAGGTGCGCAGGTGAGGCGGCGGATCGGCTCCCGTCCCAGTCCATCCTTTAGTTCTGTTCATTATCTTTAGGGAAAGAGCAGAAATGGCCCTCAGTCCTGCAGCTAAGCATCCTTATCCTCTCTCTCTCTCTCTGTGAGCTCTTTCCTCTGAGGTTTTTGTCCATCTCTGCACCAATCTCCTCCTTTTTACTCTCTCTCTCTCTCTCTCTGTCACTCTCCTTGGGAACTGGTGTCACAGTCCAACCCCAGATTTTTGTGTAATCCTTCCTAAGTCCATCTGTTAGTGCTCTCTCTCCCTTTCTCCATCTTTTCTTCTTTCACACCGCCATCCTGAGCCCACCCTGCAACCCCCCCCCACAGCGTACGACACTGTAATTACTGCACAATGTGGGAAATCATGCTGCCTGTTTCTCAAATAATCCAGCTGGATTTGACCCTGTAGGTATTTGGCGTTCCTGTGATTATTACACATCACCCTCCGCAATCCTCCACTACAGCAATCAAGCGGCATGCCGGGGAAAAAAACAAGGAAAAATCTGGACATACACTCGGATATCCAGCAAGAAATGAAAGAAGGAATGTGACTTCATATTTTCACAATAATTTATTTACATCAAGACAAAATATAACAAACAATTAGTCATAAAATAAAAAAAAAAAAACAATGACACATGCACAGCTGTGTGTCCAGTCTTAAAAATAAAGGTGCCACAGAGTTCCTAGAAGCCAAAGAACCACTTTGGGTTCCATAAAGAATCTTTAAAGAACGATTTTTGCAAGTAAGTGTGAGGAGTCTTCTAAACCCTTGAGAAGTTTAGACGTTTAAAGAACCTCAACATAACATAAAAGGTTCTATACCAATTAAAGTTTGTTTCCTAGAACTGCATGTCCAGGCCAAGAACCATCTGGCACCTTTACTTCTGAAAGGGGAATTCCACCAATGTTTCAAATTTCCAAAGTCATTCCGAGTCAGATTTGTTCACAGTGTTTATGATAGGAACCAGACGTCCACCTCTAAAAGCTCCTTCGCAAAAAGTTACTACATGAAATGGTTATGAATTCACTGCCTGATGTCTGAGACACTATGATGATGTTTGAGAAGATTTTGGTCTAAAATACATATTTATATCATTAAATTCATGGTGGAGGGATACATGCAGGGTGTTTTGAAGCAAAATAAACAGAAAGAAGAAAATATTATTTCAGATTTTCCACTATTTTCCTTCATCAACATTCCATATAAACTCAGAAGACTCGTGTAGGTTCACTGGTGGTTCTGGATAGTAAATAAAATGTCTATATTTGTGTTGTAGTCATGGCGACCCCTGGTTCCTATCACCACCACTGTAAAGACATCTGAACCATTTCACACCAAATCTCTCTGTTTACATCTCACACACTGAATTTTGAAAACTGGGTGGAATTCCCCTTCAAAGGTGTATATGTGTGTATGAGTATGTATGTGTGAATGGGGCGGGTCATCTGTACAAAAGGTGGAAAGGCTGAAAGGTCATCCCCAGGCTTGGGACTTGCAGTAATGCAGAACGAGTTTTCCGTCACTGCCGAAACACTGAAAAACAACAAAGAAACTGACAGTTATTAAGAGAATTTTTTAAATTAACCATTCATTTCAATTTATACATCTCAAACCACTCTGAATCACTGAGTTTACATCTCACACACTGAATTATACAGCAATTTTGAAAAGCTGGTGGAATTCCCCTTTGAGGCTGAAGTTTTAGCATTAGCTAGAAAACAGTCAGTAAGCCTAGTTAGCTACAGCAGCCTTAACCAGTAGCTGCTTTGCAGACAGACTGAGTAAAATGTGCAGACGGACACAATGCTGGCACTGCTGATCCCAGGAGGGCCTGACTCAGAAACCTTAACCAGAGCACCCTCTACTGGTGAGATCAGCACAATGCCGTATGACCACAATGCTCTCCAAGGGTTTCTGTCCTGCTTAGAAGCCTCATATCTATGGAAGCCTGGCTCCACTGGGGGATTAAGGGAATGAAGTCCTTTAGTAAGTCATAATAATGAGAAAGTTTCCCATAATTATTACATAGCAACTTAAAAATTTTGACCTTCTATCTTGTAATAGTGAGGTACTACATCACTATGACATACTATGACATTCAATCTTATAGTTATGACTTATAATCTCATAATAATCAGGTACTACTTCATAATTATGACTTACGTCATAAAAATGAGATACTATGACATACAATCTTATAATCTCATACTAATCAGGTACTATGTCATAATTATGACTTATGATTTAGTGCGGTACAGGATGTAAAATGTTGAATAATAATCATTTTACTCTGATGTTTTAATGGCTGGTTTTATGATATTTGATAATATATTTATTATAATATTATAATATGATATTTCTAAATATGATATTTCTGCCATATCGCCCACCCTTACGCTGAGCATTTGTGTCTGTCACATATAACAAAAAAAAGAAGTCAATGTATCTGAGCTTCAGAACGCATTCACCCACCTCACTTGAACTGTTAGTGTACAGTTAGTTTGTGAACTGCCTATCTCTACCAATCAAAACGTGAATGTGGTCATAATTACTGATCAAAAACAACTGTCCCACTGTAGACAGGAACAGAACAGGGAGCCCAGAATAACACTCACCTCAAAAAGCACACCCACTTCTTGATCTGGTGATGGCGCGAATGACTGATTGACATAAATGAACTGCAAAAAAGAGGATAGAACTTTAAGAAAATTTGTCACAATTCACCAAGCTGACCAATTTATTCTTAAATTAATAATCTGTTACTATTTATTAGGAACTAAATGGGAAATCCACTTTTTCACAATTTCTGCCCAATTAAATGGTTAAGATGTAAACAAAGTCATTCAGAACTGTTCACAGTGGTGGTGATAGGAACCAGACGTCCACCTCTAAAAGCTCCCTCACAGAAAGTTACTACATGAAATGGTTATGAATTCACTGCCTGATGACTGAGACACTGTTTTACAAGAGTTTTAAAAGGAAGATTTTGGCCTAAAACGTATTTACAATCTGTTCATGGTGGAGGGATACAAAATAGTGAGGCAAAATAGTCCCCAAAGAAAACTTATTTTGTCAGATTTTCCACTATTTTCCATCATCAACATCCCATATAAACTCAGAAGACTCATGTAGGTTCACTGGTGGTTCTGGATAGTAAATAAAATGTCTATATTAGTGTTGTAGTCATGGCGACCCCTGGTTCCTATCACCACCACTGTAAAGACATCAGACAACTGTGAATGACCATTGAATTCTGAAAAGCAGGTGGAATTCCCCTTTCAGGAGACAGCCTGAACTTTCCAGAATCTAACTGCAATAAAAGAAGTTGCTCGTGTCTCGTACCAGCTGCTCACTGGGCTCGAGTTTAAGGAAGCGGGAGATGAACTGGGCGAGCGACTGAACGGTCCTCCCTCTCTCCACCGCCCACTTTTTGGTCTTCATGATGGGCGTGTCTCCCACCGCCTTCAACAGCACATCAACTGAAAGAGGAGACACAGCAGACATAAACATAGAGCACATCTGAAATATGTTCTTCATCACACAGTGTTCCACCTGCTGTGAGTGTCATTTATTAAATTATATCATTACATTCATAAGAAGGCCTCTGTGTATGGAGGTAAGTAGGTATGCCTGACGGTCAATAAAGGACACTAAAGATCTCGTATCTGAATCTGAAATAGGACTAACCAGCTTCCACATGGTGTCTATAGGTCTACCTCTGAAACCTGAACTTTTTATTTTTTTGTGTGAACAATTGTTTTACTGTCTTTCAACTTATATGTTGGCATACACATAATCATAAGAACACCTAACATCCCCTTTCCCTCCACACCTCCCCCTCCAGGACGTGTTGGCAGATTACTGAATCAAGCTTTCAGACAGTACATTTAAAAAAAAAACATATATACACCTACATACACACACGTATCAAAACATAGCTTCATACACAAATATAAACTGATCAGGCATAACATTATGACCACCTCCTTGTTTCTACACTCAGTGTCCATTTTATCAGCTCCACTTACTATATAGGTGCACTTTGTAGTTCTACAGTTACAGACTGTAGTCCATCTGTTTCTCTGATACTTTGTTAGCCCCCTTTTACCCTGTTCTTCAGTGGTCAGGACCCCCATGGACCCTCACAGAGCAGGTACTGTTTGGGTGGTGGATCATTCTCAGCACTGCAGTAACACTGACGTGGTGGTGGTGTGTTAGTGCGTGTTGCGCTGGTCTGAGTGGATCAGACACAGCAGTGCTGCTGGAGTTTTTAAACACCTCAGTGTCTCTGCTGGACTGAGAATAGTCCACCAACCAAAAATATCCAGCCAACAGCGTCCTGTGGGCAGCGTCCTGTGACTACTGATGAAGGACTAGAGGATGACCAACACAAACTGTGCAGCAGCAGATGAGCTATCGTCTCTGACTTTACATCTACAAGGTGGACTGACAAGATAGGAGTGTCTAATAGAGTGGACAGTGAGTGGACACAGTGTTTAAAAACTCCAGCAGCACTGCTGTGTCTGATCCACTCAGACCAGCGCAACACGCACTAACACACCACCACCACGTCAGTGTTACTGCAGTGCTGAGAATGATCCACCACCCAAATAGTACCTGCTCTGTGAGGGTCCATGGGGGTCCTGACCACTGATGAACAGGGTAAAAGGGGGCTAACAAAGTATGCAGGACAGATCAAGAAGATGGCCATGATTTACAAGATGCTGATAGTAAAACAGAAAAAGTGCCGTCTGAAACAGTGGACAATACTGGCCGATTCAGAGCATGAGGAATAATCCTCTGATGAGGAAACTGACGTCACAAAATACCCAGACAGAATTACCAAATAAGACTGACCCAGACTGACCCCAGGGCCCACAGGATCTTCTGGAAAAATGAATTAAACCTTTTTAGTCACAAGAATGATTTATTCACAATGTGATGTCATCAACACAAAACATCTGTGAATGCATGCTAGAAAGTGATAATACAGTAGAATATCTGACCCCTGCATCCAAAATAGCCATTTAACCCCCCCAGAAAGGGCTCTAGAACTGGTACCTGCAAACAGCAGAATACATTTAATGTCATCTCTAAGTTGTTGGTGGGTAATTAGTTGGCAAGTAGGGTCAAATGATACCGTAGAGTAACATATAAACAAACTGTAGGACTGTTTTGAAGGGATTTAGCCATACAGGCTCAAAATTCAAACATCAGTGATGAAACTGATTTGCAAAAAACAGGAGGATCGATTTTGCTCGACTGTGGGAATAGGCTTCAAATGAAGTTAGCTGCGCCAGCTAACTAACTTAATCTGTTAAATTAAGGAAAAGGTTCGCTGTTTTCAGCTGTGCCCGTTAGATAGATAAAAAAATAACATTTCTGAAATGCCACAGTTTATTTAACACATTGAAATTAAGTGTAAAAAAATGATATTTTGCATCATTTTATCCTGACAGCTAACTGATTACACGGTTAGTTTACAGTCCATACAGCTCACTGATTGGCTAAAGAAGCGGCACTCTGTTATTTAATTGGCTCACGGTCCTGTCAATCAAACTGTCGCGGAACTCCCAGGCTAGCTGCGTGAGCAACGGCGGTTTTTACAGAAGAACCGAGCCGTTAATGTGAGTTTCTGTGGGCATAAGCAGCTTTAGGTGACCTCGGAACTTTAACTTACTCTTTTTCTTCTCCTCTGCCGCTCCTGTTTCTCCCGTATCTGCGCTGCTCTGCTGCGAGGAGGACTCATCTTTCTGTGTTTCTGTGGGAGACTCTGCGCTGTCAGACATCTCTGATCAGACCAGAGTGAACAACGAGTCTTCAAAATAAAAGTCCCACTCTGTCTAGTTGGTGTGGGTAAAATAGGGCTGGAAGATTTACGGAAAACATGGATTTTTTTTTCCTGTATAAATCAGCCAATGAGGCAAATCAATTAATCAGTCAATAGTCAATTAATCAGTCTAAAAATCATTCAGAGTGGTTTGGTGTGAAATGTTTCATTGTAGAGACTCGGGCTGAATCTCAAATGGCTCCCTAATCCCTATATAGTGCTCTATGTAAGTCATGGAACTATGGCTTTTCCACCCAAACTGTGCAAAAAAGGTTAAATATGGAGGTGTGCATCAAATGGCTTTCTATCAGACATATAATGCAGTATTTGTTGTCCAGGTTTTTATTACATTACCTACATAGGGAGCAGGGAACCATTTGAGATTCAGCCTCAGATTTCTTTACAGTGGTGGTGAAGGGAACAAGAGATCATTATGTCTACAACACAAATATATTTACAGTACATTTTATTTACTATCCAAAACCACCAGTGGACATAAATGTGTCTTTTGAGTTTTTATATGGAATGTTGATGATGGTAAAACAAACAAACAAACAAATAAATAAATAAAGTTTTATTTGGGGACTGTTTTGCCTCGCATGTACCCCTCCACCATGAATTTATTTTAAAACACTACGCTTTAGGCTAAAACCTTTTCAAAACTGGAAAAAGGAAGGAAAAAGAAGCATATTTATAAATAATTTCCAAACTTTTTGTTGGAAAATCTTTCTTTGATCTTTCTTGAATTTTTTGAGACATCAAACTCATTGGATGTTTGGTTCCTATCACAAAAAAAAAATCGGACTCCAAGTTTCTGTAGAACAAAACATCTCATATAACAACCACTCTGAATGACTTAGCTTACATCTTACAGAGAAATTTTGAGAAATCAGTGGAATTCCCCTTTAAAATGACTACACTGAAAAGTATGAGGTTCTAAGAACTGAAGATTGTTGGGCTCTGATCTGTGACCAACTGCACAGCAGTACAGATGATGTCACTGTGCCAACATCACTGTGGTTTTGGATGGTAAATAAAATCACTATATTTGTATTGTACACATCACATCTCTGAGAAAATGAGACTATACAGGGATCTATAAATACAAGACATGAAAGTGGAAAACAACAGGACTGAGGACAGTGTAGCCTCAGCTGTATCGGTAGCATCTTTATTACAAGTTCAACAGTTAAAACATTCAAAAGGGGCTTTGTTTTGAGTTCCTCTGCAACACCGACCTTGTCTCAAGCTATGTGACCTCACAACAAAATGGCAGCACCAACTCCCCCAAAGGAAATGCTGAGAATGCTGGAGAATTTCAGGAATTTAGGAGCATTTCTAAGTGAAGTGCTATATTTAGAGCCCAGGTGTTCAGCTCTGTCTTAAAACCTTCGACTGTCCAGCAGAGTCTGGTCTCTAATCCAACACACCTGATCTAGCAAGTCTACGTCTCAATCACTTGCTGCTACTACGCTGCATGTAAACAGGACGGGTGAGTTGACGATATGTTGTTGTTATCATGAAAAGTGATGTCATAATGCTCTTTACTGAGTACAACCCCATTTCCAAAAAAGTTGGGACGCTGTGCAGGATGTAAATAAAAATAGGATGCAATGATGTGCAAATCATTTAAACCATTAAAGGAAAATACTACAAAGACAACATATCAAATGTTGAAACTGAGAAATTTTATTACTCTTTTAATATAGAGCCATGCTGCTGTAATACATGCAAAATGTGGTTTTACATACACCCTGAAAAAGACGTTGTCTGGATGGCAGCATATGTTGCCACAACAAGTATATATCATTCAGCATTAATGGTGCCTTCACAGATGTGCACATCACCCATGCCATGTGCACTAATGCCCCCCTATACCATCATGAATACTGGCTTTTGAGCTGTGCACTGATAACAAGCTGAGTGGTCTTTAGCCCGGGGGACACAGTGTCCATGATTTCCAAAATAAATTTCAAATGTTGATTCATCCACAGGACACTTTTCCACTTCCCCTCAGTCCATTTTAAATGAGCTCGGGCCGAGAGAAGGTGTCAGCGTTTCTGGATCGTGTTGATATACGGTTTCTTCATTGCATTTTAGAGTTTTAACTTGCATTTGTGGATGCAACGACAAACTGTTTTCACAGACAGTGGTTTTCAGAAGTGTTTCTGAGCCCATGCAGTGATTTCCACTACAGAATCATGTCTGTTTTTAATACAGTGCTGCCTGAGGGCCCAAAGATCACGGCCAGCAAATACTGGTTTTCAGCCTTGACCCTTACATACAGAGATTTCTCCAGATTCTCTGAATCTTTTAATGTTATTTTGTACTGTAGATGATCAAAAGCAAAATTTCTTTGTTATTTCATTTTGAGAAACGTTATTCTTGAATTGTTGCACTATTTGATGGTGCAGTCTTTCACAGAGTGGTGAACCCCTCCTCATCTTTACTTCTGAAAGACTCCGCCTCTCTGAGATGCTCTTTTATACCCAATCCTGACCTGTTGCTAATCAACCACAAGGTGTTTTTTTGCATTACACAACTTTACCAGCCTTTTGTTGCCTCCATCCAAACGTTTTTTGGAACGTGTTGTTGGCATCAAATTCAAAATGGGCAAATATTTTTCAAAAAACAATACAATTTCTCAGTTTCAACATTTGATATGTTGTCTTGGTACTATTTTCAATTAAATATAGTTTTTATTTACATTTTGCACAGTGTCCAAACTTTTTCTTGTACTTGGTGGGTGTGGTCAGTACTTCTAGAACACTGAACAACGGCATGGATCAAAAAAATATGCAGATTGAGATCAATATCTGCTCATTATGACATCAGCCCACTATGACATCAGCCCATTATGATGACAGCCCATTATGACATCAAGCCATTATGACATCAGCCCATTATGACAGCAGCTCATTACGACAGTCCTTTGTGACATCAGCTTCGCATGACATAATGTTATTTTATTAATTTATTATTGCTAATTAGTTCATTTTTCCTCTTGTAACTTGTTACACTGACTAAAATAAGTAAAAAACTTTTGTACTTCAAACGTAGTTTTTCATTTTTTTGCTTTGGTGCGTTTCATCCAATTCGAAAGATGAAATATTGTGATACATATTGCATATTGTGAAAATTTCTTTAGGTATTGCAGTGTAACATACAGTTTAGAACGTATGTTCCAAAACACACAGTGTCTTCTTTCCTTAGTTAAGGTGTTATAGCCAAAATATAACATCACGAAACTTGAAAACATTGTCACGATATATGTTACGTATCAAATATTTATTATTTGTGATATTTGTAAACACATTGGAACAGACAAAATCCACCAATAAAGTAGCAGCATTTATAAGAAGTGTATATGCTGTAGGTACTTTGGTTTCCGGTTTAGGGTCAGAATGTTGATATTCTTTGAAATAAATAAATAAATAAATAAATAAATAGAGCTGCTCGGGGCATGATGTCATCGGGGTCTGTGCGGAATTCCTCCTCCGTATGTTTTACCCTCCTTTTCCTGTGCAGCTCTTGAGCAGCACGAAGTTGCAGGATGTGTGAGTGTGTGTGTGTGTGTGTGTGTGTGTGTGTGCGCGTGTGTTTTTTCACAGAACCTTGAGCGTGCTGTACACACAGTGCTGAACACACACAGACCTCTCTCCTGAGGAACAAAGCGTTCATAAATAACTGCAGGAGAAAAGCACACAGATCACGTTGGGAGAGGCTGGAAAGACGACGTATTAAATGTGATTCAAATGTCAAATATCAAATGTGATTAACTGTCATTAAGTGCTGCAAAGCAAGCAAGCGTTTTTACACACACACACATTCTGATGATGTTCAGCTTTGTTCATATTAGAAATCAATGAATTAACCAATTATTAATCTAGTGATCATGAAAATAGGAAATGTAACCAGCTTCTAAGAGTGAACTTTGGAGGTGTGGCTCCATATATATAATATATATACACATTATTTAAAAAATGGGTCTTTATGGGCTCTTTAGAGAAGGGAACCATGAACACTCAAAGAACCATTTAAATGCTTAAATGGTTCTCTGCATTGAGAAATCGTTCTTCAGATTGATGGAGAAAGTGTTGTATATGGTTCTATGTAAAACCTTTTTAAAAATGGTTCTGGGTTCTACTATTGCTACAATGTCAAGCTTGTAACAATAGCAGAACCCTTTTTGGTGCTAAATAGAACCACTTTCAAAAGGTTCTATTAAGAACTACGTACAACACATTTTCCGTCACTCTGAAGAACCATTTCACCATGTGAATTCTTCAATATAGAGCCACTGTTTCTCTCTCTCTCTCTCTCTCTCTCTTTCTCTCGACCCAAAATGACTTGACTTACGTTGAAAGTGAACTAGGTTTTTTCCCCACAGAGCCCTGCTGGCGACATCCCATACAAATTAAAATAATGCATGGCCACAATTCAGTAAGGCATGGGGATGAGATCCTAATGCATGGCCACGACTTACTAAGGCGTGGGAATGATATAATTGGGGGCAGTCGTGGGCTGAAGGTTAGGGAACCAGCCTTGTGACCGGAAGGTTGCTGGTTCGATTCCCTGAGCCGACAGGACATGACTGAGGTGCCCCTGAGCAAGACACCCAACCCCCAACTGCTCCCTGGGCGCTGTGGATAAAACTAATTTAACCACCCGTCTCCGAAAAGTCACCTGAGCACTCTCCCTTCCCTCTCTTCTTTGTGTCTGAGGAGCGGCCTAAACCCACTACAGTAGCAGCGCTGCTACGTCACGGAAGCAGGAGTAAAAGTAGCCCAGCAAAAGCAACTCCAGCAAGTCCAAACACAGTGCTGAGTTCCTCTATAGAACTGTAGCGGAATGTCTTAGTCCATAAACCATCTATCGGTATAAAAACGGAGGTCTTGTAGACTCTGTTCTTCTGTTTTTGGATCTTTTTAGCCTAAAACGAAAGGCCAAGGCTCCAAAGTGAGAGGAGTGAACAGCAGCAAAGCAGTTCAGGA